AGAAAATGTATTATGATAATCGATGCCTTCTCTTTGAGTGAAACCTTTAGCTACGAGTCTGGCTTTATATCGTTCAACATTGCCATTTGAGTCTTTCTTGGTCTTATAGACCCATTTACATCCAACCGCTCTAACTCCTTTAGGCAACTCGACAATTTTCCAAACTTGATTCTTAGCCATAGATTCCAACTCTTCCTTCATGGCATCATACCATAATTTAGAATAATCCCTATTCATGGCATTGGAAAATGAAATAGGATCATCTTTAGGTCCGATGACAAAATCAGACTCTATTGAGTATACAAAATAATCACCAGAAATTGCTGACTTTCTAGCTCGTGAGGAACTTCTTAATTCTGTAGTCTCAATTGGGACTTGAGCTACAGGCTCTATGTTGACTTGTTCCTCTTGTGGTGGAAGTTCTTGAATTTGTTGATTTTCAGGTTGATTATCCTAAAAGACAACCAATTCACCTATATTCACAAGTGTTGTATTTGGATCCCGTGATTCCTTCCACTCTATCTTTCAAGGGTAACTCCCACTAGAGTCAACTTCCTCAATAAACTTAGCATTTCTAGCTTCAACAATTCTAAGTGAATTTGAAGGACAACAAAATCTGTAACCCTTGGAGTTTTCCGCATAGCCTATGAAAAAACCACTAACTGTTCTGGGGTCCAATTTCTTTAAATGTGGGTTATACACCCTCAATTCAACTAGACAACCTCAAACATGTAAGTGTCTCAAACTTGGCTTCCATCCTTTCCATAACTCAAATGGTGTTTTGGGAACAACCTTGGATGGAACCCTATTTAAGATATACACAACGGTTTTCAAAGCTTCACCCCATAAATTTATAGACACATTAGAATAACTAAGCATGCTCCTTACCATGTCCATAAGTGTTCAGTTCCTTCTTTCAGCAACACCATTTTGTTGTGGTGTGCCAGGCATTGAATATTGTGCAATAATGCATTCTTTCTTAAGGAACTTAGCAAATGGACCTCGTAATTGTCCCAATTCTGTGTACCTCCCATAATATTCTCTACCCCTATCTGACCTCACAATTTTAATTTTCTTTTCTGTTTGTTTCTCTACCTCTGCTTTATAATCTTTAAAAGCATCAAGTGCCTCAGCTTTATCAAACAAGAGGTAGAGATACATGTATCGTATGAAGTCATCAATAAATGAGATAAAATATCTCTGACCATTCAGACAAGGTGGAGTAAATGGTCCACAAATATCAATGTGTACGATTCCGAGAATTTCCTCACTCCTTTTGGCACCTTTACTGGTCTTGTTGGTTTGCTTTCCCTTTATGCAGTCCATACAAATACCAAAGTTGATAAAATCAAGAGTCGGAAGGACTTCATCATTAACCAATCTCTTTATTCTCTCAATGGAGATATGTCCCAATCTCCTATGCCAAAGAATAGAGGAGAACTCATTAACAATATTACGCTTAATGCCAATATCACCATGCAAGGTTAAAAGATTTTGTTCAAAAACAGGATCCAGATTTAATTTGTACAAACCATTAATTAAAGTACCATATCCTACAGAAATAGAGTCTTTAAACAAACTAAAGTTTGCACCAACAAACTAACTGAAATTCAAATCCAAACGGTACTAGTCTAGAAATAGAAATTAAGTTTTTTGAAAAAGATGGAATGTAAAATGCTTTTTCAAGATCCAAAACAAAGCCATTTTTTAAAACAAGTCTAAAAGTTCCAACAGCTTCGACGTGCAAACGTATCTCATTGCCCGAATAGATGCCTTGTTCACTTCTCGTCGATTTCCTTAGGCTGAGGAAGCCTTGCATGGTATTAGCAATGTGAATTGTAGAACCCGAATCAATCCACCAATCATATTGATAAGTATTAACAAAATTAGATTCATAACACACAAGAGATATGAGATTACCTTTCTTCTCAATCTCTGAGGACTTAAGACGAGCTGCAATGTCCCTCATTTCCATAATGTGCTCACGCATACTCCTAGAATTGTTATACTTCATTCCTGATACTTTGTCAGAACTAACAAATTGCTCTTCAATAGCCCTCATGTAGTTCTTGACCTTATCAGATGGTGGGATTGAGTCCCTAATGCTCTAGCTGATATGTGACTTTATGAGCATTAGGCTTAAGCGATTGGATCGCTCCCACTTATCATAAGCACTCTTTTCTGCAGCGGAACTCTCGTCCGTGGGTTCAGGAGGTTCATCCACACGGAGTGCCAAATCGAGGTCCATGCATCCTAATGTTATAAGGATTTTGTCCTTCCAGTCTGAAAAATTATCACAGTTCAAGAATGGAATACGAGAAGACTTATTAGATAGTACAGAGGTAGAAATCACTGCAATTACCAAGAACATTATTAATGCTTTGAAACAATAGCTATAGTCTGAATCAACCAATGTCAAATTTAGTAACAAATCTAAACCTTCCTGTGGGTAGAGGTCACTAAACTATATTAGATTTGCTATTACTTTATAATAAGACTAATGGGTTCCGAAATATTTAAGGAAAAGAAAACTCATACATGTGGGTTTAGAGTGTTCAATCCCTTTAATACCCAATCCATTATCTTATTCAAATTAAATTTTATAAATAATTACTTTCCTGTGGGACCAAGAACTTGTTTATAAAACAAAATTGCAATGTAAAAATGCCAAATTAATTTTTAACTTTATGTGATCAAAATACTGAGGATCACATCTTTAGGTCTTAAGATGCTGTGGCTACTCGTAAAACAGAATAAATTTTTTAAATATGGCATAATTTATTAATGTGAGCAAATCCTTATAGTCACAACAAATACATAATCTTTCAATGCACATAATGTATAATACATACAATCAGAGTAATATCACATGAAAAATCCCAAGACCAAACACATGTAATTCAACTTTATACTAGATTTTGCTTAAAAATTGGACTAAAATAAATTTCATAAGCCCAACACATAGTGTATACATGCTCTTATTTTACATGAATTTTCAATGCATAAATAATTACCTTAATGCATGTAATATAATATTACATTATTTTAGATAACATGCCAATGAATCTAAAAAATTATAAAAATTATAAAAGAACATGTTATAATTCACTGTATGAAATTCAATTAAATTTGCTCATTACTTTCACATACAACTACAATAAAATGTCTTTCACAACATGCCATTCCTACTATAATATTTAACAATAAATTAAACTGGCGTAGGTTTCAAAGGTTAAGGCTAAATATTGATCTACTCATAACCACATCTACAGAACTAATTGTCTAATGCATATAAAGTTATCAGAATGCATAGTATTTGATCAACAGTAAAACCATAATCACAAAAGTCCAAAAATAAAGGAAGTAATTATAAATCAATGTGATCTCCACAAGAAGAACCCAATAAAAGTTGATCATCTGCTACTTTCCACGTTTATTAGACATATAAATTCACTAAATCAATGGAAAGAAAAATATTTTTTTTTAAAGAATAAAATTTAGATTTTAATAAAGCTAATCCCACTGGAAATCTATTATTAGAGATGATGAATAAAAAACCAGAAATAATTTGGTGATTCAATCTTTACTTCCCCCTCCCCTCCACTCTCTCTCTTTTTTTTTTAATTACGCAGCAAGGTATGCTTTATACTCATATAGATATTAACCAATCTAAATGCCCCAAACCATTACACACTTGCATAATCAATTTCGAACAGTAGAATTAAAATAAACAAGTTTCATGAATTCTCAAAACTGAGAATAATAATTGAAAATAATTTTGGGTCTTTGATTCCTTATGCCACAGTAGTGTGCTAGTGATCAGGTCATTATATTATATGGATAGCATAAACGAAAACAAAACAAAATATGATCTAACATGATTTGGCCTCCATAAATTACAGTAATGCTGAACAACAAACAGAAGGAGGCTTTAATACCAATTGTGAGAATTAAAATAATTTTAATTCAGAAAGAAGAATACATCCTGCCATGATGTTCAAGCCTTTGAGTCTTTATCCTTGAATGATCAAATCTTGAATGTACAAACAAAACCCACTCATTGAACACTTTTACAGAACCATATGGGAAAAGTGGAAAGAACAGACTTTCAAGCATATTCTATTCACAAAACGTTGTGTTTAATGGCTATCACAGACATATATATAGATAGGCTTAGACCCATATCTAAGTGTAACTCCTTATAACTTCTCACCATCAGGAAGTTGCAAGGTATCACGAAACCACCATATGGGATAGTAAATAGACATTAGTTACCCATTAACCATTAAACTAATTAAATATATACAATAAATATATATAATATAAATAACTAAATAAATAAAATAAACATGTGACATATTGGCCACTTTATGGATATTCTTATACTATTCTCAATCTAATTTTCTTTAAATATATTTATTTTATTTTTTATTTTGTGTGAAAGAATATTAATATAATTATGTATAATAAAAACAAAATATAAAATATATTTAGAGTAAAGTGAGATCAAAATAACAGCCCTGATAAAAAAAAATTGTTTTTTACCCTGTTGAATGAGAGGAGGTAGTCATTGTTCCAAGAAAGTAAAGAAAGCCAACGGCACCATCCAATCATTTCCACCACAAAAAAAAAAATAAAAAAAACATGAGAGGGTAAAGGGTATGGTCTGATGATGAAGAGGGACCCAACTAGCCGAACCTAATAAGTGTAGGGGTAGTTCACACAAGTAAGAACCAGCTGTTGTTATGCTATTCTTATTCCTCTCCTCATATTCTATTCGTTGAACTTTCTTGGCAAGATCTGGGTTTTTTTCTCTCTCTCCCTCTCTTAGCTATAACCCCCAAATTAGAGGGGTCCAACTCCTCATCTTTTTTGTTTGTGCATACATACATTGATTTATGGAAACAAACTGACAGCAAAAGAAGAAGAAGAAGAAGAAGAAGAAGAAGCTCTGAGAGATCTGGCAACTTCACTTAAGAGGTACTTTGTGTTTCTTTAATTTTCTTGCACGCCAAACATAATAGTAGCTTTCTGTTATTTGGAAACTTGCAGTTTCAGTTGTCTTTGAAAGTGATTTGTTGATTTTTCTTGAAGTTTTTGTCAATTTGACATCTGGGTATCTTATCTTTTTTCTTGGAGAGTAGCCATTTGAGTTCCTGTTCCTGATCTTTTAATTTATCTGTTTGGTAGCTGAGAAAATGATGGATAAGGATAGAACTTGGAACTACATCTTTAGATAGTTTATAATTTAGGCCAGGTGGTTATAGACCTCCACTGAATTTTCTGCATCAATTGGGACCAGAACCCACTATCAAACTTTCATTTTCGTTTATTTTTTTGCAGTTTACTCGGCAAAATAATAGAGGATTTACTGTCGTTTTTTAAAGTGACTTGTTGATTTTTCTTGAAGTTTTTGCCAATTTAACATCTGAGTATTTTATCTTTTTTCTTGGAGAGTAGCCATTTGGGCTCCTGGTCTTTTAATCTATCTGTTTGGTAGCTGAGAAAATGGTGGATAAGGAAAGAACTTGGAACTAAATCTTAGATTGTTCATAATTTGGGCCAGGCGATTAGAGACCTCCACTCAATTGTGCCTAAATCAACGAATGGCCTCTCTGAGGTGTGTTCTGCATCAATTGAGACCAGACTGCACGAACATTATAGTCAAACTTTCATTATCAGTTTATTTTCCTCCAGTTTTCTCAACAACTTAACAGAGGTTTTGAGATTTCTCCAAATAAATGCATAGAAATAGGTTTATAGGTTTGTTTGGTATCTTAGAATTATTGAAAAAGCTGAAATCTTTTTATATTTTTGTGTTGTTTTGTTGTCAAAACAGGACAAATTGAGGAATGATATATAGATGGAGAGTAAAGGGAACTGGTTTTCTTCAGTAAAGAAAGCTTTCAGCCCAGAATCCAAGGAAAAGAAAAACCAGGTTTGGGAAATTTTTCTGTTTGGTTCTGCAGTAAATATCTTGATTTCAAATGGGTTTCTAATACATTTACTAACTAATTTTCAGAAATCAAAGAAATCGAAGAAGAAATGGTTTGGAAAGGAAAAACCTACTGTTCCTGATTCACCATCTTTAGATACTGTCACAGCGCCTCATCCTCTTTCTCCGCCCGAAGAGCTGAATTTGGATTTGACTGACGTGGAGGATGAACAAGATAAACATGCATATTCTGCTCCAGTTGCCGCTGACGTGGCAGCTGAGTCTCCCGTTGCAGCTGTTCAAGCTGCTGCAGAGGTTGTTCCTCCCACTGCCATGACTCAGTTGACAGGTGAATGGAAGGAGGAAGTTGCCGCAATCAAAATTCAAACGGCATTCCGTGGATATATGGTATATGTCTCCTTGTACATACATAAAAATAAAAACTAAAAACAAAAAAACACATTGCATTTTATTTTATGCCAATTCTTGAGCATATAGGCCTTGATAGAGCAAAATAGTGAAAAAGGATTCATGTAGCCGACTCTACTCGATTGAGACAAAGGGCTTGGTTTGGTTTGGTTTGGTTTGTTTGCTGACAATGAAGTTTCTATGTAATTTTGATAAAAAATTGCTCTTACAAATCTTGTACAAGTTCTTATTGCTTAAATCCACATTTGAATCACAGCATATTCTCCTAGGAGAAAGTTTTCCATTGCAAGCCTAATGAGAATGTTTGAAAGTTATGTATTGTATTTGAAAGTATTTCTTTTTTATTTTCTTATTTTTCTTCTCTTTGACTTTAGCATTGGATTACATGAGAAATCATGGAACTTATCAACCAGTTTGCCATTGGGTATCCGTTGTCTTCAGGCAAGAAGGGCATTGAGGGCTTTGAGAGGGCTTGTCAGGCTGAAATCATTGGTACAAGGGACTCCTGTTATACGGCAAACTTCAAATGCTTTAAGATGCATGCAGACTCTAGCCCGTGTGCAATCTCAGATCCAGTCCAGAAGGATCCGGATGTCGGAAGAGAATCAGGCACTCCAGAGACAGCTCCTACAGAAACGTGCAAAAGAACTAAGTTTGCAGGTTAGTTATCTTTCATTACTCTTCGTTCATGTCTTCCAAATTGCTTTACTTACGTAACCCAGTATGTGATGTAGCATTGAGTGTGTCACCGGGCATATTTTAAGATGCTATTGGTAATCTAGGACTAGGAATGAATTTGATGCAATCTAAATCGGTTGTGTAATATTAGGCAAACACTGTGTCTTTTTGTAGAAGTCTGACCTGCTAAGAAGTTCCCCAGGATGTGTATTTGGTGAAATGCACATAGGATTGCAAATTGCAATGCTGATTCAGTATCATTTCAATTGAACTTTTGGCAGGCACTGCATACTAGATTTTCCAGTTTCCAAATAGTTTCTTATTTGAGTTATCATGAACAAAAGACTTTTCCAATAGAAAACCTCAGCTAAATGCTGTGTTTGGATCTTAGATTCGAGTAGGGATATGTGGAGAGAAATGAATCCATTTTCCTTTTACTTCATAAAATCCCTATTCAAATCCAAGAACCAAACAGTAAGCTAAGTGTTCTTTTGTTTATTTGTTCTGTGCTTTATCCAGAAACAAATTGCTCTTTTGTTAGTTCTTCACTTTGTGCCTTCATCTGAACAGAATTGGTTTTAATGTTGTAAACAGATAGGAGAGGAATGGGATGACAGTCTACAATCAAAAGAACAGATTGAAGCAAACTTACTTGGCAAGTATGAGGCAGCCATCAGAAGAGAGAGAGCACTGGCTTATTCTTTCTCTCATCAGGTAATGTTTATAGTATTTTCTAGTGTTTGGCACAGCAGAAAACGTTTTTGTATTAAAGAAAAAAATCATGTTTGGACTTTTTCTAATTTCTTCTGCAACCACTGCAATTAAGTATATAGACAAGCGAAGTGCCTTCTGGTTGCCCCAGACTTTTGGCATAAGCTAAAGGAAGACCACGTTCATATAAATTTAGATCAATTGCTAAACAATGTTGATAGATCAATTTTTTACCAACTTGTTTTCCTATAAACAAATTGAGGATCAAAATCCTGGCACGACAAAGCTTCCTAAATCTCTACAACCTGTATTCTCGTGTAACTCTATATCTTTGGCCTCCTTGGTTTTACTTATTTTCTCACCTTAAACCCCTCAGGAGCTCTACCTTGTTAACCACCATAACAATGATGCCTATTTGCTTGTTTTTCTACATGCTTTTTCAGTTTTAGATAATTTAAAATTCTCTCTTAATTATAATTTTTTTATTTCCTTTCCTTTTTCTTAATTCTTGAAGTCACATCCTGTATCCTTGTAAAAAAAATTTAATATTTAAATTATTCCTCAATATTTTGAGCATCTTCATAAGCTAGATATATGGTTCTACATGTTGACAGTGTGCACAAGTGAACAGCACATGCCATGCTGTTTGCATCAGATAGTCAAACAAAAGTTTTATTGACCCTCTAAAAAAATATATAAAATGAACAAATAAAAAATAGTAATTGTCCATGTCATCTTTTGTATTTTAAGTTGGTCTAGCCAATCAAATAATAAGGCCAGTGGTTGCACAACTTGCTCAACTCAATCATCTGTAGACATAGAATGGTTAAGCTTTGATTTCATTTAATATCATAATGAGGAAAGTGACTTCACTTCAATAAATTGAATTTTTTAGTTTTCAATAATACGCAAGTGTAATAAACAAAAATCAACAAAAAAATCAAAAAACCATAAATCTAAAAAACCCATCAAAGATCTTGAACATGGTAGGTCATACTTATTAAATCCATTAAGTCGTCAAACATTCAAGATTCAATCAATATTCTGATGAACATCAACATTGTTGAAAGAGACATATATAGTCATTCAGAATTCAGATTATTACCCAAAAATAAAAGAAATGTTGTGTTTGAAATATGAAGAGGTTTTGGACTATAACTCTCATTTGCATGAATTTGTGACATCTTAACACAAACATAGATGAAACTTGAAAAGTTGCAAATGTCTAGATCTACAATATTAGTTGTCGATCTGGCCATTCCAAAATTTCATGCTATTTTATTTAGTTTAAAGAATTTCAGCGTTTGATCTAGTTTCCCAAATTTGAAATAAGCAGCAAAACTGGAAGAAGTCGACAAGATCTGCAACACTATTGTTCATGGACCTAACTAATCCTCACTGGGGTTGGAGTTGGCTAGACCGATGGATGGAAGCCCGTCCATGGGAGACTCAAAGTACAACTGAGAAAGAATTCAATAACGACCAATTATCCACAAAGAGTGCCAGCCTCAACCTAGCTGGAGGAGAAATCACCAAGGCTTATGCTCGTCATCAACTCAACTCTGACAAACCTTCCCCGACTTCCACCCAAAAGCCGAATCGTCGTCCTAGCCACCGTTCCCCTTCAACTCCTCCATCAAAGTCAGCATCTTCAACAGTATCAAAGAAATTGAAGCCAGCAAGCCCGAAAGGGAACATGTTTAGCCCAGATTCTGATGGAAAGAGCATGTTCAGTGTGCAGTTAGAGAAGAATAGGAGGCACAGCATTGCAGGGTCATCAGTGAGGGATGATGAGAGCTTAGCAAGCTCTCTGGGAGTTCCAAGTTTCATGGCACCCACTAAGTCAGCGAAAGCTAAGTCACGGATGCAAAGGCCATTGGGTTTGGAGAATGGGACACTGCCAGAGAAGGAATCAGCGGGGCCTGCAAAGAAACGGCTGTCATTCCCAGCTTCACCAGCTAGGCCGCCGAGGCGGCATTCAGGCCCACCAAAGGTGGAAGTCAGTTCCATTGCAGAGAAAAATGTGACAAATGGAGGGGTTAGTCAAGAATAAGTCTAGGAACACAGAAATTAATCACAAATATCACTCATTCTGTGTTTTAAATTCTATGTTTGGTTTATGTGTTCACAACAGCACTGGCCAGTCAGTTGTTTCCTGATGAAGGAGCATTGAAGAAAATAATTTCCACGTGGACTTGAGAGGTTATCGAAGTGAAGAATTGAAGATTAAAAAGATAGATCATTTGATTTGTGAATTATTACTTCTAAGTATGTTAATCATTTTTATTTTATTTATTGCTTTGAGGTTGTTGGTTTTGGGGGTGAAGTCAATCCCCCCTTGGGTAGGTCCTGCCGTGGGAAGTTTTTCTCTTTCTTTTCTCATTTTTAAGAATGTGAATGATTTCAGACAAAAAAAACAGCTTTCCAGCTTTGATTATTTTGTGAAGAATGTGATTCTGTTACACTTCTATACCTTCAATGTAATAAATCCACTTATTGTTCCTTTCTTTTTCTCATTATTTTTCTTGAAACACAATCATTTTAAAGGTAGTTGTGATGTGAGATACTTCAGTTTTTCTCTGCCATGGCTTGCTACAGAAAGTGGGAGAAGACCTGGCTCATAAAACTTCTGTTAGGCTGCGTTTGGATATTGTATTTTTTTGAAGTGATTTTTGAAAGATTAAAAAAAACAAAAACAAAAAAAACCTGGGATTCAGCCAGTTATATGAGTGTTTCATTTGAAATACTCATCGCTCTCCAATGTACCAAAAGAAAACGAAAGAATTTTTTTATTTCACAAATTTAAAATTTAAACATGTTAAGTTATTTTTATTTTAAAGAATATTAAAGAAATGAGTAAACACCAATACTCACTCAATTTGTCTATCAAATTTTGAAAATGACGGACTTATAAATGGTTATTATGGGAACATAATTTTTGAATGACAATACATGGTCGAGGTGTCACCGAAGTGCCAGCCAAGATGTCACGTGTTCTAGTCATGACGCCGAGATCATCTTGGCTAGGCCGAGGTTATCTGCGGAGATACTGGAATCTGGGATAAGCGGATAAGGGATAAGAGTCCTAGAATGAGAGAAGACTTCAGTTTGGGTAAAGAAGATAAGAGTCCTAGAATGAGAGAAGACTTCAGTTTGGAGTTTATCCCAATTCTACTGGAAATCCAAGATTAACAGTAATCTTAAGTCCATTGAAGCTAGGCTTCTATTGGGACTAGGTTTGTGTTGGCTATAAAAGAGAGGCGCTCTCATGCTTTTTATACTCTGAATAGTGAGTTAAGTACTTTTGCTATCTTTGAGAGATAATTGACTTGATCGTCGAAGTGCCCCCGGGTGGACGAACCACCGTCGGAATCTCTTCTTTTTGTGACAGGTCTTCTTTTTGTGACAGGTCGTTCGAGCTTAATTTATTCTGCCAGTGTTCTCCAACTGATTATTTGATTGACAGTGTGGTCGAAAATTAATACACATAGATATATATACTCCATTTTGTGTAAAAACTAGTATTGTTATTAAAACTAAATCTAGATATCAAATTTTAACGATGTAATTTGATTTAGTGAATTTCATTTTCTAGTCTGTCACTAATACATTTATAGCACATCATGTATATGTTGTGTATATATAATTTAAGAGTAAAGATGGTGGAGGGCAATTGTGTGTGCGGGTGGGCTGATGGTGATATTTAAGAGGTGGGTTGTGGTGGTGATGGTGAAAGGATGAGTTTTATTTTCTCATATTATTTTTTAGGTAATTTATATTGATACCTTCTGAAGTTTATATTTATTACAGTACTCTCTCTTACTTTTTAGAAATTATATCCCTTTCCTGAGGTTTAAAGTTTCATTACAGATTGTTCCCTCCAGCAATTTAATTTTTAGGTAAATTACACTTATACCCCTGAGGTTTGGGTTTAATATATATCACCCATTGACATTTAAAAAATTACACTAACCCCCCTGTCATTGTAATTATTTAGACGGAATGAAAATATTGAACTTATACTCTCTCTTTTCATGCTTTCCTTTACTTCCTTTGTTTTTTTTTTCTTTCTTCTCCTTTTCCTTTGCTTTACTTTTTTTTTTAATGTAATTTTCTCTATTTTTCTATTAAGAGTTGTTGCTTTTTATATAAGTAGCGGAGCTTGTGAAATGAGACTATTAACTACAGGGATGGGAACATAATTTCCAAAACGTCAATGGATGGAATGTAATTGGACCAAACCTCAGAGGGGTCAGTGTAATTTACCCTTAATTTTTTTAAATAGCAATTTTGCCTTCACTGGGTAAATTACATTGGCACCCCTCATATTTTAGAAATTACAATTCCCTCTCCAAGGTTTAAAGTAGCATTACCAATTGCTCTATCGGTTAGCATTAGTTGAAAAAAAAAATTCATTGAAAAAAAAATTAAATGGAAAAAAAATTAATTAAAAAAAATTTTTGTAAGTCAAATTTTAAATTTCTGTTTAAAAACCAACGTAAACTCATTTTTTGAATTTACGTTTTTTTCTTAAATTTATAAACCGAAACAACCATTTATAAAACAAAAAAAATTATCAAACAAGTTTTTATGATAATTTTTAAATTTTTTGTAAATATAAATTGAAAACTGAAAATGAAATGGTTTCCAAACAGGCCTCAGATGGTAAAAATGTCGTAAAACTAACAAATAATTAAATAAGTTACCAATACCAACCTAAGAAAATGACTTATCCAAAGATTCTTAGATTATGTATGGTTTGATTTTTTTTAAAAAAAAATTAAAAATTAAAAATTAATTTGGTTAAAAAATAAAAAATAATTATCATTTTTATATAATTTTTACCTTTCGAGTGTAATAAACATAAACCTCAAAGGGTGTCAGTGTAACTTTTATCTTATGTTGATTTTTAAACAAAAATTTAATATTTTGACTAACAATTTTTTTTTTCAATTAATTTTTTTTCCAATAAATTTTTTTTCAACTAATACAAACCGAAGGGGATGGGGCTTAAGGCTTAGTTTGGTTTGGTTTGGTTTGATTTGGTTAATACTAACCGAAGGAGTAATTGATAATGCTGCTTTAAACCTTGGAGAGGGGATTGTAATTTTTAAAATATGAGGGATGTCAATGTAATTTACCCACAAAATTAGTATTTAAAAAAATTAAATTGCTGGAGGGAACAGCCTGTAATGAAACTTTAAACTTCATGGAGGAGAATTTAATTTTAAAAAGGTGAAGGAAAAACTGTAATAAACATAAACCTCAGGGGTGTTAATGTAATTTACCCTTATTTTTTTGAAAGGTTATATTTTTTTTTGGGTTTTGATATTAATTATTGAACAAAATTATATAATTTAAAAATTAACTTCCGAGCGAAATATATTGTTTGGCTATATTTTTATTTTTTATTCGGAAGTTAATATATGTAGTCATGAGTTTTGGTTCGGAATTAATTTTCAAATCATGTAATTTTATTTGACAATTAATATTAGTACTAAAAATAATGCGTGAAAATAAAAATGATATAGTCTAGAAGTGATAAACAAATTAATAGTTCGAGTTCGACTCGTTAAAAATTCATTCGATCTCAATTTGTTAAGTAAATAAGTCAATTTTAAACATCTTTGGGAACTTGTTAAGTTTTTAAATGAAATTTGAACAATTAATTATTCATTTAACTCCATTGAATAAACCTAAAATTATATAAAATATCAAACTAGATAAAGTTTTATTTGAAACTGACTCTAGGGTGTTTTGAAAAGTTGATAAAAAATTAAATTTTTAACTTTTTTTAACTTATTTTATTTTTTTTGTCGATAAGTTATGTGAGAAGTGATGTGACCCAAAATTAGTAAAAAGTTAAAAGTTGACTTCTTATCAGCTTTCTAAAAGAGCACTCTATAATTTAACAAAGCAAACTTAAACAGTTTTTTTTATTATTATTTTAAATATGTAAAATTAAGTTACAATTTAAAGAGGTCATTATTGTTAGAAATTATATCCTCTTCCTGAGGTTTAAAGTTTTATTACAGATTGTTCCCTCTAGCAATTTAATTTTTGGGTAAATTACACTTACACTCCCTAAGGTTTGAGTTTAATATATATCACCCCATTGACATTTAAAAAATTCTGCCAGTGTTCTGCAGCTGATTGTTTGATTGACAGTGTGGTCGGAAATTGACACACATAATTATATATACTCCATTTTGTGTAAAAACTAGTATTGTTATTAAAACTAAATCTAGATATCAAATTTTAACGATTTAATTTGATTTAGTGAATTTCATTTTCTAGTCTGACACTAATACATTTATAGCACATCATATATATGTTGTGTATATATAATTTAAGAGTAAAGATGGTGGAAGGCAATTGTGTCTGCGAGTAGGCTGTGATGGTGATATTTAAAGAGGGGAGTTGTGGTGGTGATGGTGAAAGGATGAGTTTTATTTTCTCATATTATTTTTTGGGTAATTTACATTGACGCTCTCTAAAGTTTATATTTATTATAGTGCCCTTTCTTACTTTTTAGAAATTATATCCTCTTCCTGAGGTTTAAAGTTTTATTACAGATTGTTCCCTCTAGCAATTTAATTTTTGGGTAAATTACACTTACACTCCCTAAGGTTTGAGTTTAATATATATCACCCCATTGACATTTAAAAAATTCTGCCAGTGTTCTGCAGCTGATTGTTTGATTGACAGTGTGGTCGGAAATTGACACACATAATTATATATACTCCATTTTGTGTAAAAACTAGTATTGTTATTAAAACTAAATCTAGATATCAAATTTTAACGATTTAATTTGATTTAGTGAATTTCATTTTCTAGTCTGACACTAATACATTTATAGCACATCATATATATGTTGTGTATATATAATTTAAGAGTAAAGATGGTGGAAGGCAATTGTGTCTGCGAGTAGGCTGTGATGGTGATATTTAAAGAGGGGAGTTGTGGTGGTGATGGTGAAAGGATGAGTTTTATTTTCTCATATTATTTTTTGGGTAATTTACATTGACGCTCTCTAAAGTTTATATTTATTATAGTGCCCTTTCTTACTTTTTAGAAATTATATCCTCTTCCTGAGGTTTAAAGTTTTATTACAGATTGTTCCCTCTAGCAATTTAATTTTTGGGTAAATTACACTTACACTCCCTAAGGTTTGAGTTTAATATATATCACCCCATTGACATTTAAAAAATTCTGCCAGTGTTCTGCAGCTGATTGTTTGATTGACAGTGTGGTCGGAAATTGACACACATAATTATATATACTCCATTTTGTGTAAAAACTAGTATTGTTATTAAAACTAAATCTAGATATCAAATTTTAACGATTTAATTTGATTTAGTGAATTTCATTTTCTAGTCTGACACTAATACATTTATAGCACATCATATATATGTTGTGTATATATAATTTAAGAGTAAAGATGGTGGAAGGCAATTGTGTCTGCGAGTAGGCTGTGATGGTGATATTTAAAGAGGGGAGTTGTGGTGGTGATGGTGAAAGGATGAGTTTTATTTTCTCATATTATTTTTTGGGTAATTTACATTGACGCTCTCTAAAGTTTATATTTATTATAGTGCCCTTTCTTACTTTTTAGAAATTATATCCTCTTCCTGAGGTTTAAAGTTTTATTACAGATTGTTCCCTCTAGCAATTTAATTTTTGGGTAAATTACACTTACACTCCCTAAGGTTTGAGTTTAATATATATCACCCCATTGACATTTAAAAAATTCTGCCAGTGTTCTGCAGCTGATTGTTTGATTGACAGTGTGGTCGGAAATTGACACACATAATTATATATACTCCATTTTGTGTAAAAACTAGTATTGTTATTAAAACTAAATCTAGATATCAAATTTTAACGATTTAATTTGATTTAGTGAATTTCATTTTCTAGTCTGACACTAATACATTTATAGCACATCATATATATGTTGTGTATATATAATTTAAGAGTAAAGATGGTGGAGGGCAATTGTGTCTGCGGGTGGGCTGTGATGGTGATATTTAAAGAGGGGAGTTGTGGTGGTGATGGTGAAAGGATGAGTTTTATTTTCTCATATTATTTTTTGGGTAATTTACATTGACGCTCTCTAAAGTTTATATTTATTATAGTGCCCTTTCTTACTTTTTAGAAATTATATCCTCTTCCTGAGGTTTAAAGTTTTATTACAGATTGTTCCCTCTAGCAATTTAATTTTTGGGTAAATTACACTTACACTCCCTAAGGTTTGAGTTTAATATATATCACCCCATTGACATTTAAAAAATTCTGCCAGTGTTCTGCAGCTGATTGTTTGATTGACAGTGTGGTCGGAAATTGACACACATAATTATATATACTCCATTTTGTGTAAAAACTAGTATTGTTATTAAAACTAAATCTAGATATCAAATTTTAACGATTTAATTTGATTTAGTGAATTTCATTTTCTAGTCTGACACTAATACATTTATAGCACATCATATATATGTTGTGTATATATAATTTAAGAGTAAAGATGGTGGAGGGCAATTGTGTCTGCGGGTGGGCTGTGATGGTGATATTTAAAGAGGGGAGTTGTGGTGGTGATGGTGAAAGGATGAGTTTTATTTTCTCATATTATTTTTTGGGTAATTTACATTGACGCTCTCTAAAGTTTATATTTATTATAGTGCCCTTTCTTACTTTTTAGAAATTATATCCTCTTCCTGAGGTTTAAAGTTTTATTACAGATTGTTCCCTCTAGCAATTTAATTTTTGGGTAAATTACACTTACACTCCCTAAGGTTTGAGTTTAATATATATCACCCCATTGACATTTAAAAAATTATACTAGCCCCCTGTCATTGTAATTATTTAGACGGAATGAAAATATTGAACTTATACTCTCTCTTTTCATGCTTTCCTTTACTTCCTCTGTTTTTTTTTTCTTCTCATTTTCCTTTGCTTTACTTTTTTTTTTTTAATGTAATTTTCTCTATTTTTCTACTAAGAGTTGTTGATTTTTGTATAAGTAGGGGAGTTTGTGAAATGAGACTATTAACCACAGGGGTGGAAACATAATTTCCAGAAACGTCAAGGGATGAAATGTAATTAGACCAAACCTCAGAGGGGTCAGTGTAATTTACCCTTAATTTTTTTAAATAGCAATTTTGTCTTTAGGTAAATTACATTGACACCCCTCATATTTTAGAAATTACAATCCCCTCTCCAAGGTTTAAAGTAGCATTACCAATTGCCCTATTGGTTAGCATTAATTGAAAAAAAAAATTCATTGAAAAAAATTGAATGGAAAAAAAATTAATTGAAAAAACATTTTGTAAGTCAAATTTTTAAATTTCTGTTTAAAAACCAACGTAAACTCATTTTTTGAATTTACGTTTTTTTCTTAAATTTATAAACCGAGACAACCATTTATAAAACAAAAAAAAAATTATCAAACAAGTTTTTATGATAATTTTTAAATTTTTTGTAAATATAAATTGAAAACTGAAAACGAAATGGTTACCAAACAGGTCTCAGATAGTAAAAATGTCGTAAAATTAACAAATAATTAAATAAGTTACCAATACCAACGTAAGAAAATGACTTATCCAAAGATTCTTAGATTATGTATGGTTTGATTTTTTTTTTTTTTAAAATTAAAAATTAAAAATTACTTTGGTTAAAAAATAAAAAATAATTATCATTTTTATATAATTTTTATCTTTCGAGTGTAATAAACATAAACCTCAAAGGGTGTCAGTGTAATTTTTATCTTACGTTGGTTTTTAAACAAAAATTTAAAATTTTGACTAACAATTTTTTTTTTCAATTAATTTTTTTCCAATAAATTTTTTTTCAACTAATACAAACCGAAGGGGATGGGGCTTAAGGCTTGGTTTGGTTTGATTTGGTTAATACTAACCGAAGGAGTAATTGATAATGCTGCTTTAAACTTGGAGAGGGGATTGTAATTTTTAAAATATGAGGGATGTCAATGTAATTTACCCAGTAAGGGTAAAATTGGTATTTAAAAAAATTAAATTGCTAGAGTGAACAATCTGTAATGAAACTTTAAACCTCATGGAGGAGAATGTAATTTTAAAAAGGTGAAGGAAAAACTGTAATAAACATAAACCTCAGGGGTGTCAATGTAGTTTACCCTTATTTTTTTGAAAGGTTATATTTTTTTTGGGTTTTGATATTAATTATTGAACAAAATTATATAATTTAAAAATTAACTTCCGAGCGAAATATATTGTTTGGCTATATTTTTATTTTTTATTCGGAAGTTAATATATGTAGTCATGAGTTTTGGTTCGGAATTAATTTTCAAATCATGTAATTTTATTTGACAATTAATATTAGTACTAAAAATAATGCGTGAAAATAAAAATGATATAGTCTAGAAGTGATAAACAAATTAATAGTTCGAGTTCGACTCGTTAAAAATTCATTCGATCTCAATTTGTTAAGTAAATAAGTCAATTTTAAACATCTTTGGGAACTTGTTAAGTTTTTAAATGAAATTTGAACAATTAATTATTCATTTAACTCCATTGAATAAACCTAAAATTATATAAAATATCAAACTAGATAAAATTTTATTTGAAACTGACTCTAGGGTGTTTTGAGAAGTTGGTAAAAAATTGACTTTTTAATTTTTTTTTAACTTATTTGGTTTTTTTGAATAAGTTATGTGAGAAGTGATGTGACTCAAAATTAGTAAAAAGTTAAAAATTGACTTCTTACCAGCTTTCTAAAAGAGCACTCTATAATTTAACAAAACAAATTTAAACAATTTTTTTTTTATTATTTTAAATATAAAATATTAATATGTTAGTAAAATTAAGTTACAACTTAAAAAAGTCTTTATTGTTATTTAAAATATTAGTATATTAGTAAAACGGCTATGCTACAGACCCCCAGCTGGGGGCACCCCCGGGTGTGAGGCATTTTTCTTAGTAAAATTAAGTTACAAGTTAAAGAGATCATTATTGATCCATCAATTCGAACTCCACACTTTCTACTTGCCATACTCTGAGGCTTTGATTACATGCCACTCGGCAAGGAGCTCAACAACTTAAACAGTTAATTACTCGGGTCGTTAATCAAGGAGAATTTAATTTGTTATTTGAATTAAATCTTAAAATATTTATGTATTTTTTTTTTATTATTATTATTTTTTTATTATTTTTAAACATAACATACACATGTACATGTAGCAAAGTTACCATTTTTTGTGGTTTTTTGTTTTTTGCAGCGAAGCCCTAACTGCATCGGAGGTCAATAAAAGTCGGCGAAGAAAAATCTTGACTTTACAACAACAACAGCAAGGCCGTGCGTGAATGTCCATGTTCATCCTCTTCCAGAAATGGTCAGTTCTAATTCACTAATCTGTTTTTCTGTTTCTTCGTTGTGAATTGTGAATTCTCGGTTTAGGGTTTTCTGGAATTCTTAGATTAAGATTGCGAAACTTTAGGGTTCGATTTATACATTTGTTTTTATATAAATATGTTTAATTCTAAATATTTTGAAGGTTTTGTTCTGTGTTTTTCATGGTCTGTTGTGAAGTTCAGAATTTTGAGAAAAAAGCTTGATTTTTTGTTTGTATGTATGTGTGTACCAATCACAGATTAGAAATACATTTCCTAAGCTAGAGATGATTTTTATTGTGCTTTTGGACCCTTGAAATGGGTTTGATGGTTTTGGTAATTATGCAACAAACAAACAAGTGGAGTCGGTTACATGAATAATTTTTTGCCATTAAGCTTTACCATGGACTAATATGCTCAGTTAAATTAAATAAATTCATATCCGTTTTCACTATCGCATCTCATGTCGTTTTAGGTATTTTCCTCCCCTTGCATCTCTATTTATGGTAATCCTATCACTCTTCCTTACCATTGACCAAACTATCCAAACCTGTTCTCTTTCATATAACAGTAAATTAGTTTGTTTCACTATTATTTGCGCTGATGATTTAAGGAAGAATATGACTGGCTTTTAGTTTTGCATTGTCACTCAGCCTCTTCTCTTTAACTGCCCCTTCTTTCCTTTGATTCATTGTATGCATTGTATATTAAAAAGGAAGAGAAAAACAAAAAGAACCATGTTATATCATCTTGTTATCACTCCTCAAAGTGGGTTTTAGGTAAGTAAAGAAACCTCTAGATAATGCTTTATCTGAGTGCTTAATCTCTGCAATTGCATGATCAAAGATAGCTAGTGTAGGCAGACATGTAAAACAACTACATTCATAAAGGAAAAAAAGAGGTTACTCAAAGTATAACCAATGTCACATTGCTTTTTTTTTCAGTTCATCGGTATTAAATGTTATTGGAAATACAGATGGCTTGTTCATGATGATTTAGAGCCGAGAACAATGACTGATTTTCTTGATAACTATTTAGTGGTGTGGCGATAACCCATTCCTTAAACTAACAATGTTTAAAACCTGAAAATTTGCACCAGAGTACACCATTGCTGGCAGGACTTGCTGTAGCAGCTGCTGCTTATGCTGGCAGATATAGCATACAGGCTTGGCAAGCATTCAAAGCAAGACCGCCTAGAATGCGCAAATTTTATGAAGGAGGATTCCAGCCTACGATGACAAAAAGAGAAGCAGCTCTTATTCTCGGTGTCAGGTACCCTTGTTACCTCTCTATCCAGTTATGAAATTAACTTATACCATTACCCCCTTTTCTAGATTTGGATATTTATTCTCTCTGTTATCTGCATGAAATGTTATGTTCATGATAATTTTCTCTCCACCACCCGACCTGTGGGGTGATCCAAACAAGAACAGAAAATAGAGAATGGAGTGGGAGGGATGTTGGTGAAACAACTGGTGCATGTCCAAGTGTTTGATCCTCGAAGTACAAAATTTTGGATATGGGAACATTGCCAAAAATGTCGGAGTGTCTTTAAGTGAGTGTAGGTCTTAATGAGGGAAGTAATTGAGAAGGGGCGGGACTTGCAATCTTTTTGTTAAGTTGAGGAATTCTATAATGTAGGCTAAATATTTAGGTCATTGTTTAAAATTATGAACAAATGAGGGACTTGCAATCACCTATATGGCATATTAGCTCTTGTTCATGCTCGTTATGCCTGATATTTTCGATTGGTTTCTCATCTGCAGGGAAAGTACTCCAGCGGATAAGATTAGGGAAGCACATAGAAGAGTGATGGTGGCAAACCATCCCGACGCTGGTGGTAGCCACTACCTTGCTTCTAAAATCAACGAAGCAAAAGATATGATGCTTGGAAAGACCAAGGGGAGTGGCTCTGCATTCTGACATGTTAAAACCTGCGTCAGTTAAAGTTTGGGAAGATGATTTTCAAGCGGGCAATTAAACAGATATCATTTCCTCATTGTCCTGAAATATTTTTGTCATATCATGTTGAAAATTTTAGGGTCTATTTTGTTTCATCAATTGTTTTAGACCCAACAGAGTTGTACACTACTCGGAAATCACAATATTTCTATCCATTTGAGTTCATTGAACGTGAGAGGCACTTTTGCTATTTGACTTGTATGTGTTAACAGGCTTATCTAAATCATATGAATAATGAAATATTTTATTTTGCACTAGCGGCTTGGTAACTTGTGTGTCTGCTAGCAAACATAACTAACCTTTCTATTCGAATAACGAAGTAGATATGGAGCAAAAAATGGTTCAAATATGTCCTAGTGATGTGAATAGTTCTATGAAAGCTGCGTCCAGTAAAGCACTTGAGATCATGTTGTGTTCAATAATCTTCATAAAATTGAAAATTGCATAATTCTATACCCTCCGCATTACTCATACTTACCATTCAGTACATTTAACACAAATTTTGCACCCTTTGTCAGTCCTACCAAATCAGCACAAAATGAAATACTACAACCGATTTTAACTGGTTGAAAAAGAATCTTTATTTTCTTTGCACTTTTCTACCACTATCTTGCTAAAGCTAGCGCTTTCTTGCTAAACAAACAAACTAGCAATCCTAAGAAGAACTGATGTAGGTCGAAAGGTACCATATTGAGGTCACTTAAGTTACATTTATAGTTTTTGAATTTTGTTTATTTAGTGAAAATGATGTGTTTGGTGCATTTGTACAGATTTGGCCAGCAATAGGTAAATTCAAGCAAAAAGTGGCACGAAAGTAGATTTTCCGTGCGAGTAGTGAAAATTTCTGGCTTGCCACCTGACCCACGTGCAACCTACCACTGCTAGAGTAGAAAGTATGGGCGCTCGAGCGGCCCACCTAGGATTGTGTGCACGGAATTTCAAGTTTGTTCTGCTGAGAATGAAAAGCAAAAAGGCTGGATTAGGGTTCTGAAAATTCCAAAAATACACGTGGGGCTAGGGTTTGGAGAGAGGGATTTTCAAGCTTCAAGAACATCTTTCGTGGGGGGTTTCATTTTCTTCCACCTCTTTCCATTCCTCCATAAGTGGCTAGGCTTCTATTTCTACGATTTTGATGAAACCTTAACCAAGTAAATAAGGTTTTCTCTTTAGTTTTGATTATGTAATGATTTGAACAAGTTGTATGGTATTTAAGAAATTTTTATATATATTTTTCATTATTTCTTCAAGTATTCTACTTTCTGTAATTGTTGAATGTGTTCCATACAATGGTTTTTTATTCTTTCATATTCAATGTTAGAGGGGTATTTATGACCCTGGCCGAGCTAGTTTGGGCTGGAATCGGGGCCCTTACTCAGTCGGATGGTGGGCATATATTCAACCGAGGACCTATTCTGGTCAAGTTAGGACAATCTTGGGCCATTAGCTCAGTGTTGTTTAATGGAATTTGTCTTCTGAGACCAGATTTGGCCGAGAAGTTGCTCGATCGTGACCGTGGAGCTCGATTGAGTCCGCATTCGGGTCTGACCAACGGTACCAGGCGGATAGCGCGGCCCCAATAGAAAGGGGAAGCCGTGGTAGTGAGTATAGCCCGGTTGGAAGGACGATGCGACGAGGCGGAACCGCAGGAAGAATATCCCCATATTCGTGCGTGTTGGTACTGCTTGGCGGTTTCATCGTTTGATGCTTAGCTGTGTTTGCGTTGACACATGGGAAAGTAAGAGGAGAGCATGTCCACGCATCCAGCGAGGAATGGACGCAGAAACGCGCGCAGAAACTATATAAACGATATTGCGCCTCGATACACAGGTCTGGAACATCTTCTGATCAGAGCTCACCTACCACTTTGTCTCCTCTCTCTCTCTTTCTCTCTCTCTCTCTCTCCTCCTTTCCTCTCTCACTAAGCGTGCCAACTTGACCGTCAAAGGGGTTTTTCGACAAAACACCGCTGGGTAGCTCATCATCTTTGTATTCTCAGGTTAATCAGAGTGAAGCAAAGCTTGGACATAAGGAGTACGGATGACAACGAATATTTGCTCCCCGTACACAAGGTATAAGACAAGCCATACTACAAGGGACGAGTTGTTTTGCTACCCTAATTTAGAACAAACGACTCGTGCTACTTGAGATAGTTCGTGCCCATATTAGCTGTGTTTGCGTTGACACATGGGAAAGTAAGAGGAGAGCATGTCCACGCATCCAGCGAGGAATGGACGCAGAAACGCGCGCAGAAACTATATAAACGATATTGCGCCTCGATACACAGGTCTGGAACATCTTCTGATCAGAGCTCACCTACCACTTTGTCTCCTCTCTCTCTCTTTCTCTCTCTCTCTCTCTCCTCCTTTCCTCTCTCACTAAGCGTGCCAACTTGACCGTCAACCGCTGGGTAGCTCATCATCTTTGTATTCTCAGGTTAATCAGAGTGAAGCAAAGCTTGGACATAAGGAGTACGGATGACAACGAATATTTGCTCCCCGTACACAAGGTATAAGACAAGCCATACTACAAGGGACGAGTTGTTTTGCTATCCTAATTTAGAACAAACGACTCGTGCTACTTGAGATAGTTCGTACCCATACATTGAATGTGATAATTCTCTTAATCAATGGTTTGAACTTGTAGTTGCGAAATATTATTTAGTTTGAGCCATAACATAATTGATTTTCAAATTGAAACCTTATTTATGTAACAAGTGGTAAATTCATTACCCTAGGTTTTTTCTAAATTTAATAATCCCAGTTTCATTTTTAATCGCTAGTTTAATTTGTTAGTATTTTAATTATCATTAATTTATAAACAATCATTTCTTTGATCAAAATTAATTTAAGAATTTAGCAATTAAATTAATTTAATTTCACATTTGTCCCTGTGAATCAATACTTAAACTTACTATTATTCTAAGGAATTTAGTATAATTTAATGTTTATTTTTAGTGTGGGTCCCGACCCATCAAGAACAATCCTTGTTTGATCAATTTAGACAAACTTCAGTTGATGCCAAATCCTCAAAAACATCTAGAATTCCTGAGATAATAAGGTCAAATTATGTTTTTGACTAGTTCTACTTCAGAAATGGGAACTATTAATACTTACAAAAAGCAAACAGTAGTATGATAGAAAGAACAAAGTCAGGTGAACAAACAAAAATTGATCAAGTGTAATGACAACATAGGATGACAATCCACATTACAAAGGAAAAACATAAAAGAAAAACAGTGGTAAGATTGTCCGCCATCTTGCTTCTCAACATGTCTTGGAAACCTGAGGAGTTTCAACAAAATCCTGAAGAAACCAACAATTTGATTGATATCTGGCCTTTCATGCTCCATTGAGAAAAGGAGCAAACTCGTGGTATTTACATTGTCATTCGAGAAACTACAGCATAGAATTAACTGCCAGTTTGAGGCCACAACTGTTATGCATCAGCTTCCAATTGAGGTTGGTCTGTGCTTGCAACTGGACCTTGTGGTTTTCCAAATAGCGTAGAGAATATTTGTCGATGGCATTCATCGCAGAAAAAGAAGTAGGAGAAGTGGCCCTCATCTGGGAGTTTATGCACCACTGCGCTTGGTAAAACCCGAGCCACGTAGTCAGTCATTGATGGTGGGACTACCTGGTCATCCGTTCCCTGTTTAGCATGGACAAAATTCAGGAAATCAAGATCAAATATCTAATCAATTAACATAATAAAACAAAAACTGCACAAAACAAAACAAAACAAAACAAAATCAAGGCCTGCAAACCTGCCATATGTGAACTGGGCCAAGAAATCCCATCAATTCACATTCCTCCTGACTATAAATGAACTTGAACCAAGGGAGAAAGCCTTTTCCGGGGCACTTCTTCTGCACCTGAAGATCTGCCAGTTTGAAACTCCAATGGGAAACCTGTAGCACAGCTTCCTCTATGAATGGTTTCATATTTAACTGACGGATTGACTCCTCAACATCCCTCTGCCAAAATTCTTCAAATTTCGTTCCTTCAGTGAGAGCTTTATCCTGAATAAATCAAAGATTGAATGTAAGTTATGTCAAACATAGAATACTACTTTTTCAATCATAGCTTATAATTACGAATAATGCTATATGCACTAATTAGTATACCAATTAATGATGTGGCATAATTTAAAATGTTTTTGGTATTTGTAATTTGTATAATAAGTGGGGTCATGTAGCACCACCGTATAATTACATATCACATCTTATTCCCAAATAGTTAACTCACAAAAGAATAATAGTAGATCTTTGCACTCAAAAGATCAATTCTGTGGCAACAGTTGGTTTGGATGAACTGGTAGTTAATCAAGTACCATGAGTATGCTTCCCATCAAAGTAGAACTTCAAGCAAGGGTATAATAAATATTTTCCAAATAATATAATTAGTTTCCTTTACACCTACAAGAATCAACAAACTTTACAGCAAAGAAATATTTAGATTCTAGTTTAATTTGCCAATATGTTGAATGAAGATACATAATAAAAAGCGGGTTTCCTCATTTACAAGTAATTATTCTGATGGAGCTAGAACAGATTTTAGCCTTATTCTTCAATATAATCAATTAGTTAACTAATCATCTTTACAACTTGATTTTTTAGCTGACTTTGATGCTGACGCAACTCATACAAAATATAATTTTAGAACTAAGAAATACAAAAAACAAATTGTCAGGCCCATACATACATGTATCCTCTTACAGTGATTCAAGATGGAAATGAACTCACCTTCTTCCCCAATGACAAAGACAGCCACTTCTCAATCTGACCATGCTTTCCAGATAGGAAACTTTGGCCGTAGAAGTAACTGAGAAATTTAGGAAATCTTCGAGCTAAATAGTACATCAGTTTCCTCCTTCGCACCCACTTTTCCCAAGTTCTGGACATCTCTTCCTTAGTCATGCTTGATTCATATGGATTAACCATTGGAGCAAACATGGCTGCACCTGCAAAACAGCCATGGATACAGCACAAACAAATTCATACAAGATTATAGGTTATTAGAGTTCTTAAGGATATTGATAGATATTGATACAGACAATTTTTCAGGAGAACAAGAACATAAATCAACAGTGGAAGTTAGGGAATGATGACCAAATGTCAGAGTATTACTTCTTTCTTTTCTTACCTTTTTTTTTTTTTTTGGCTGTAACTGTAACAATAATTACTTTATCATCAAAATAAGCATCATGCTCAAAAAACAAAAAGAAAAAAAAAAAAGGCTTGTAACCCAATTAAATTATCAAATCATAGACTTCAACAAAATATGAGGACACTAGTTCATTGCCATAATTTCCAACAACCAGATTATACACATTCTTAAACAAGAATAGCCATAAAAGAAGACTATATTCCCTGACTATTATGCTTCTTTTTCTTTTTACCTTTGTTCCCTTCTTTTTTCACCTACTGGTATGAGAAGACATCATTACTTTATCTCATTTCCCCCATCATGTGATTTTCTAGCTGCTTCGTGTCATGAGAATGATTTGGTCACATTTTACCCATTTTTGTTATCTAGAGAAAATTAATGATTTTTCAATTTCGGATGTGTGATACTAAGGTCCCCATACCCTGTAGCCTATTGAAGATATGAACCACTGGGAACTAACGAAACTGACAATAAGCAATATGGTTATGACATGTTTTTAATAGCAAAGAAAAGGTTAGCTTACCTGCAATCCGATCAGGAATGTATTTGAGCGCAGCCCAAGCATGCATGGCTCCACTCGAAAACCCCAACACCCAAAATTTGTCATGTAATCCAACAGCATTTGCCAAGTGTATCATATCCAGAGCTGATGAATTGAGGTTCCTCTTCGGATGAAGGTCGCTCTCCCCAAAACCAGGAAGATCATAAGTTACCAAACGAACACCAAACTCTTCCAGCAGTGATTCTTTAACTCCTGGTATACCTTTTGTAGAAAAATATATTTAGAGAACAAAAATGTATTACAGAGTCAGTTCTGCAGCAATTTTACCAAGAACATGCATTAGACTCTCATTAATCTCATTTCCCAAATGCATTCAACATTTTTAGAAACTGTCTACCTGCAAGCCTGGAGGATAGAAAACCATGTGGTGCAATCAAGGAATATCTAGCTCTGTCACTTGGAACACCTTGCTCACGATATGCCATTTGTCTACCATCCGGAAGTAGTATGCGTGTAGCACTCGGAGGATGTATGTACACTTTCTTCACCGGTGAGACCGAGCTATCGTGTTTATTATTTACATTCAGTACTGCCCATGAAAATTTGTCAAATTAAATAAATAAATAAAAGTAGGAAGGAATATAAAGTAGAAAAAGATGAAAAACTCTAATCAAGCAACGATATGCTATACTCATAAACCAACAATAACAACAACAAAGACAAAACGCATTGCACGATCAAAGGTAAAAACTTTCCAAGGAACAAATACAGATACAATTTCGCCACATATAATGATGAAATATGTTTGCAACTTCAGCATTATTACTTGTAGGTAATTTAAAGTGGAGCTTGCATAAGCTTGAGCTGAAAGCCATGGTAAACTTTGACAGTTAGTTAACATGGTATGGCAACTGTGTAAGCAACATCCCCTACTGCAAGCTTATAAGCTCCAGCATTCTTATCATTATCTATTGCTTTTAGTTCACCAACTTTAAAAATATGGAAAGTGATCTACAAATAGAAAATGTGTGTATATATATATATAGAATTTTATACTAAAATGATGTGGCAATGACAATCTTGAAGTCGCATTAATGGGCCTTCCTTTTAAAGTGATAGAATCCAAGGGCTGCCACGTCATTCTGGATCAAAATTCTATATAGATTTTTTGTTTGTATAGCACTACTCTCAAAATATATATGTTGGAAATTGGAATTTAAGCATTGTTGTGCATCTTGGATAGAAAGAAGATGTTTGATGTGTAAAATGCCTCTTGAAAAGAGAGCCAGCAAGTAACTGGTTATCCGTGACTACAACAGGCCCAACCTAATGTTAGTACAAGCAATGCAGTATTCAATTGGAGGCATTCACAATTACTCACAGCAAGAAGTTTAGCAATGTCTCAGTTTATGAACCTCCATCAGCTAACAAACTAACATGGTTTCTATATGCAACATATACAAAAATACATAGAAAAAAAAATGCTTGCAAAGAGCTCAATATTCTTTTACCTAGACCAACAGCAATTACATATGAAACACATTGATGCTATGCTATCATAAGTGTAAACGGCCGCAGTATTTATCCATGAAATGTGTCCAGATGGGGTTAGTTTTTCCATTAAAGACGTATCCAAGGGTGCTAAGCCTTTTAAAGACATGGAATGAGTTAACTCATTGACATCGAATCAGCAACTCAACAGAAACTTAGCATGCCGATATTGCATTTGTGAACCCCAAGGAGGCAAAGACAAACCTCAAACAATAACCCACTAAGGCAAAAATAGAAATATGAGAAACAGCAAACAATATAGAGAACCCTCTTCTAGCACATAAACAAAACAATTAAATAATAGAATAAAATAAGAGCATAAATTCAAATTGCAAACTTTATAAGATAAAAAAATAGCACAAGTTCCCCCAATGTATCACAGGACAAACACAAAGATGCTATCAAGAATCAAATCAAATTCAAAAAACAAGTATTACAGGACAACCACAAAGATGCTATATTTTTCAAATTTCAACAGGTTTGTTCCTCATGAACCAGAACTAATACTAAACAAAATTACCTGCAAATGCGAGGAGGAAGACGAAAAAAATGACCGACCATGAGTGAACCGGATCACGATCTTCCGGAAGATACTCATTCAAAAAACTTAATCCACCAGAAACCTTTGCCATGGGTCCTCTCATTTTTTGCACAATATATGAATCGTCGGTCAAATAGTTCTGTTGCACTATATCCTTACAACCTTTCCCCAATTCGAAAACTATTTCTCCCCAAGCTTTCGCAAACCCTTTCACCTGATCCTTGAAGCTCTCCGATTCCCCCTCCACCTCACCAAAATGGGACCTTTTGGTCTCAAAAACAGGGCTCGAAAACCCAATTGCATCACCAGTACTGTATCTTATCCCTGTATCGTCCACCAAGCTCATGAGCTCTTCTCGCCACGATTTCGAACCTGTAACTTCCGACATTTCTATATGTATATTTGAATATCCAATGATAAGCTCAAATCTCCATTATAGAGTGACAAGAATGACGATATCAACACAGTTTGGGTGTTAGAATAAATTTTTGAAAAAGGGTTTCAGTAGAGATTAGAATCTGAACACTGAAACTTTGCTTGAATCAGAAGATTCAGTGTAATATAATACAATGTATATATGCGAATATAGAGTCGATTGAATCAGAATTACAATCAGAAACAGAAGAACAAGTGATACATTTGAATTAATCAATATCAAAACCCATAAATGTATAGAGAGAGAGAGAGAGAGAGATTGCTTTAACGATTAGCTTTTGACAGTCGCGTCAATGGAACGATAACTGAACCGAAACTGTAAACTTTCTCGGCGTGATCTTCAATTATCTAACTATTTAAATCTTCAAAAAGATTTAAAATTTTGAAAAAGAAACCCCTAGCCGACCATTGCTGAGAGGTTGGGGAATCATATCTACGAGAAAGGCAAAGGCATCTCTCTCTCTCTCTCTCTCTCTCGGCTCAACTTTTGCTTGCCGACAAGGACAACTACACATACATATAATTTTACATGATTTTACAATCTTCAAATATAAATGATTCAGATTATAAAAAAAAGTTCGAAACACAGTAGAATCCAATGTGTGTGTATGCAATGCTGAAACCGTTGTTTCATCGGTGGTCCAAGCGGTAAATGAATTAAACTTCGTACGTCGAATCCTTACACGAATCCCCCTCACTCAATTAACCCAACTTTGAGTTATTTTAGGTAGTTGATTAAAAGTTAACTTGCCCTTTTTTTTTTTCTTTTTTTTTTTAATATGTAAAAAATAAAAAGACGTGTGATTTAAAATAGGTTAAAAATCAAAATTGATTTCAAACTGAGTTCTCAAATTAGGCTTTAGGTTATGTTTGGCATAAATGATTTGGATTATTTTAGTCACAAAAATATAAATAAAATAAAATATCATATACAAATCATAATTATTTTATTCTTTCTCTGACAAAAGTAAAAATAATTAAAAAATTTCATTCCAAACGAGACTTTTTAACCTAAAACTAACATAGTCAAAAAATCAAAAAATTAACTCATATCCCAAACGAAAGCTTAGTACGCACCCTCTAATCACCTTTTCTTTTCTTTCTTTTTTTGGAAATTTAGTTTTTTTTCTTTTTTTTTTTATTTTTAATGAATTTTTTTAATATTTTAAATAAAATTATTTACTTTTTAAATACACATAATTTAGATATACTTAAAAATAAAGAAAGATTTACGCGTAGATCCTAATAGATAGACTTATTATCCAGTAGGTCCAATGAAAACTAATGACTTTATCATCAAACGTTATTAAAAAATGTCACTAATTGTTAATTATTAACGACAATTTAAAAATTTTATCATAAAAAATATCACTAATTATAAGTTTTAGCCACAATTTAAAAAATCATCACAAAAGAAATCACTAATTTTTAACTTCAAGTGTTAGTTTGAAAAATTCATGACAAAAAAATGTCATTAACTAAAAATTTTAAACACAATTTATAAAAATTATGACAAAAAAAGTTATTAGCGACAATTTTACTATAACTTATTTTCAATAAAACTTAATAATAATTAAGTCTAACTATTATGGCATATTAGGAGTTTACCTAAAAATAAAATATTTGTGAAAAAATATTTTTAAAATTTAATAAATATATAAGTATATGAAAATGTGCTGAAATTTTGTATTTTTTCATATTTTTTTGTATTTGATGATTTTTTAAAGATTTTTTCTATGAATATATATTTTTTTTAAAAATAGATCTAGGTTAGATACATCTGAAACATAATTTTTTTTTTAAATGTTAAATTTTTGAAAAAAATAGTCTAAAGTCGAGAGATCCATAATATTATTTTGTAATGTTTAAGGTCCCTTACACATTCTCATATACCTCCCTCCATATCTGATCTTCCTGGAGAGAAGAACGCAGAGACTGATCTTTGAATTCGAGATTTCAAAGTTTGGTTTTCTTCCTCGCCGGATAATCTGACAATCACGCCGACGACCAAAACCAGTCTAAAGCAGCAACACACCGCACAATCATGTCGGCGAAACTAACGCCGGATGAGAACAAACCAGAGTAGAAAATATCATAAAGGGGACCCCTACAACCAGTACCAGTGACTTGCCATCTCCGACATCAATACAAACAGACAGCCTGGACATGGAGAACACCGTTAACAGAGACAAAAACTAGACCAGCGCCGGAGAAAGAGACACACAAAGGTCCACCAGAGAACCAACTAAGGCAGCAACATTTCAGCAAGAAGAACATGCCGACGAACTCTGAACCCTTTCACCACCATGATCGGAACTTTCTCTCTCTAGAAAATCTAGAGAGAGAGGCTCTTCGCAGCATGAGCTGAGCACACACCGTAAGTTTAACCAGCCAGGAAACAGCCAAACTGGACTAAGCTCAACCACGAGCACCACAATGGACGGATGAAACCACCACCATGAAGACATATCCAAGGTGAAGGTTTCCTGGATCAATATACGATTACCAATGTCTGTTCATAAAAATACAACTCTACTGCAAATAGAGAGAATTTCTCTGATCTGTTTGGTTTGGAGAGAACTTCTCTGGTTTTGGACTAGAGAAATTTGTGAGTTTGTTAGTAAAGATTGTATTGTTAACTTACATATTACACAAAGTCAGAAAAATTCTTTGTGAACAGAGCCAGAGAAATTTGTGAAGTCAGAGAAATTTTCTCTAACTTCATTCACAAATTTTTTCTGGATAAAGCCAGACAAATTCTCTTTACACAATTTTCTCTGGATAGAGCCACACAAAGCCACACAACTTTTCTCTGCACAATTTTCTCAGGATGAAACCACACAATTTTTCTCTAGATTTCTTTAGTACTCAAAGAAATTTCAATTTTTTTTGGTTTGAACCCAGAGAATTTCTCTGGTGAGAATTTATCTGGGATTGAAATTTCTCTGGATCGATATTGAGGGGCCTTAGACATAATAAAAATATTTGACGTCCTTTATGCTATAAAATCTTAATATCGGGGACCTTAAAAAAAAACTCCCTAAATTTTTTCACTAAAATAGAAAAAAATATATATAAAAAATAAAAAATTGAATTTTTAATTAAAATATTAAAATATTTTAATTGTTTTGTTTTTTACTTTTATCATTTATAATAATTGTTTTGATTTTTTAATTATTTTAACCAAATGCCAAATGATATTGTGCTTAAAATATGAGTTTAAATAATAATTTAAAAATAAATAAATAAATAAATGAAATATAATCACTCTGTTTGGTTTCAGTTTTCATAATTCATTTTTTAGAAAATTCTATTTTTTTATTTTTTTGTATTTTTTTCAGTGATTTTTTTTAATACTTTATGAAAATTCTAAAATTTTTAGACATGCCTAACATAAATATATTTAAAAAGTATAATATTTATGAAAAAAATCTTTATAAAATTCTCTAAATACCAAAAATACAAACAAAACAAAACAAAACAAAAATTCATTATATTTTTTGTATTTTTGTGTATTTATTATTATTTTAAAATATTTTACTATTTAAATACATCTAAATAAGGTCCATCTAAATAAGTAAAAAATTGTTCAAAATTTTAAAAATATTTACTAAAAATATAAAAAATATAAAATTTAATTTCTAAAATACTGAATTCAGAAAACTGAAACCAAACCCACTTAGGGTTCGTTTGGGAAGTGGGTTTCTTGACGTTTTGGTTATTTTAAATTGGGGCTAAAAAGCCTTGTTTAGAAAGGATTTTTTGATTTTTTTGACTTTTTGTAAGAGAAAAAATATAATGATTATAAGTTGAATGTGATATTTTGTCTTATTAAATTTAAAAAATTATTTTATTTTTTCGACTATTTTAATCAGTCAAAAAAGAAGAAGAAGAAGAAGAAGAAGAAGAAGAAGAAAGAAAGAAAGAAGCCAAAATCACAACTTCCCAAACTAGCTTTGACAAGTGATTTTTTTAGTCAAAAAGTCAATAAAAAAATCAAAAAGTCAAAAATTCATACCAAAAAGTTAAAAATTTTATTTTTTTTTCTATTTTTTATACATCTTTTTATAAAAAATTAAAATTTTTTTAAAAAAATATGTTTCCAAATGAGGCTTTAATCTTACTTTACGGCGAGTCTTTCCACGTCGGTGAGCTTTTGATGCCGTAGGTTGCAAGTCGTGTTGGTGACTTGGCGTGTGACGTAAGATTAACAAAATTGCAATTTTTTTTTTAAACGATTAATTCAAATTTGAGCTTGCGTGAATTATTCAAATTATATAAATTGGATGACCGTCTAAATGACTAACGTCACTCTTGTTAATTGCGGTTGTCATACTTGTCTACTGGTGTGTCAACTAGCATCCTACCGGGTGCCTCTCTGGACGACCAGTATACACAATTTTGGACAAATCAAACGAGTCCAAATTCAAGAAATATAGCAATGTTTTTTTTTTAAAAAAAATAAATTATTTTTTCAAAAAGAAACATACTAAAATGGAAATATTAAAATTATTAAATCAATCTAATTTTTTTAATAAATAATATATTGTGAAATTATGTTTGTTTGGACATCGTAAAATTGATGAAATTGGCATTTATAGAATTATTTGTCCGAAGATTATCAAACCCTTTAGATTGTGAATCATATATCATGTTTAGATTTACTCGGAATTATGAAGAGAGATTTATAAAATTCTATCAATCTTACAATTTAATTAATTAATCTAAATCCTTACTTTGGCTCCATTTGTGTTCCGCCATCGCAGTCCGGAGTGGACTGTGATGTGAGGGATGAATAGTGAAACAATTCCATGTTTGATTTGGTTTTGGAACTCCCGATTCGTAGTCTCTTCGGACTATGAAAGGCTTCAGTGGTTCGGATTATGAGTCTAGACGGGGAGATAGTATTAGCAAAATAGTCCGTCAGCTTAAAGGGTGATCGGCCGGATGTCGTCCGAGGGACATTCGACCGGTGAACTGTAATTTTTTTTTTTTACTTCTTGGCATTTTTTTTTGAACATTAATGTTTAATGGTTTTGTATTTTTGTTAAATAAAAATCATAGTTTTGTTTGTTTTATTATTTTATATAAAAATAATTTAACAATCTTTACACTAACAGTATCATCAAAACAAACACAATTTTACTAATTCCCTCACTAATAATCCTCGCACTATCAATCCCTTTCATTCTATCTTTGAAAACAAACGGGCCTTTGTCCTTTTTTTTTTCTTTTTTTTTTTTATCCCAACCCCTCTTGAAAGTAGTCCTTATATGGTGATAATGTGGGTGTTAGGCTATTTTAGTAGGCTAAAAATTTTGTATTTGGAAAGGTAGTTGGTTTTTTTTTATAATTTGATGTGATATTTGTGAGAGAAAAAGTAAAATGATTATGAATTTAATATGATATTTTGTCTTACTAGTTATTTTAGTCTATTTTATGTTTTCATTAAGTTTAGTCAAAAAAAGGATAAAATCGAATTTGCTAAACACCTCAATATGTTC